TAGACGTACGGGCAAACCGGAACGGGCGGACAATCCTTCGGGGGCGTACATCTCTCTGCCCGCCATTGGAATTGGCGCGGGCCCTGCAAGAGGAGGAGGGGAAGAACGAGGGAGAGTGGGAGGAAGGGGAGGGGGAAGGACGAAGGAAGAGGGAAGATACCACGTTGTGAAGGCGTCCTTGGCGCGCGCGTGGTTCCTGAGCGCCGAAACGCAATTCCAGAATAATTTGTGAGGACGTCGCACGCGAGAGCGCAGTCCTGAGTACATTGTGAGGAAATCTCAAGCGGAAGCGGGGGCCCTGACTAAGTTGCGAGGAAGTCTCAAGCGGGAGCGCCGTTCCTGAGCAAATTGCACGGAAGTCTCAGGCGGGAGCGGGGGTCCTCACTAAATTGCGAGGAAGTCTCAGGCGGGAGCGCCGTTCCTGAGTCAATTGCGCGGAAATGTCAGGCAGGAGCGGGGGTCCTGAGTAAAATTCGAAGAAGTCTCAGGCGGGAGCGCCGTTCCCACGTAAATTGCACGGAAGTCTCAGGCGGGAGCGGGGGTCTTGATTACATTGCGAAGAAGTCTCCGACGGGAGCGCCTTTCCTGAGTAAATTGCGCGGAAGTCTCAGGCGGGAGCGGGGGTCCTGAGTAAAAATCGAGGAAATCTCAGGCGGGAGCCGTTGTTGTTGTAGCCCGGGGGGCAGGGGCACAGTTTGAGCAGGAAGACTTTCCTTGAGAAAAAACAAGGTGCGAGCCCCGGGGATGGCACTTCAATCGAAGAAAATCAATGTGCACCTGTGGGGGGGATCAACAATAATTATTCTTCAAGACTGAGAGTTCAACAACAATTGCCACATCAACACTAGCAACAACAAACACAATATCAACAACAACAACAACAACAACAACAACAACAATAACAACAACAACAACAATCACGTTGATATTGTTCGCTCTTATCTGGTCGCGTACCACTCCGCACAAATATCCCAACCCCTCGACACCCGCCGTCTCCGTCTTCGATCGTTCCCCCCCAGGGATATAGATCCTTCCTACCTGCAACGTGCATGTCGTGCAGCCCCTAAAGCAGGGGAGGAGAGGACGGATGGAAGGAAGGGACAAGGGGGAGGCAGAAGGATGGAGCACGAGAGAAAATGGCATGAGGGGGGCGAAGAGCAGAAAACACGTGGCAGAGCCAGACGGGCAGATCAGGCGGGTAGACCCTCACGGGCGGGTCGGAAAGGCGGGCCCAAACGGCCAGGTCGAGCAAGCGGCTTGCTGAAGCGTGCGTCCTGCATGAATCGCGAGGAAGTCTGGAGCAATAGCGCGATTCCCAAATAAATCGTCAGGAAATCTACAGCGAGAGCGTGATTCCTGAGTGTCGAGGGCGCGGCGTCTGATGAAAGTGCGAGGCAGTCCCACGCGAGAGAGAGATTCCTGTATAAAGTGTAGAGGCGTCCCGCGCGAGAGCGCGATGTGGGAAGCCGCTCCCGTTGCAAACCGGGGGCCAGGGGCCCAGTTTGGTGACACCTCGCTTTCCTTTGTGAAAAGCCGGGTGCGAGCCCTGGGAGAAGTACTTGAATTCAGGAAAAATGGTTTCCAGATGGGGGGCGATCTACTGAAATTATTCAGAAATGAAAACTCAACAGCGACAGCCGCAGCAACAACAACACCAACACCAAAACCAACTTCACCATCACCAACAACAACAACAACAACAACACCATCAACATCAACAACAACAACAATAATGTTAAGACTGTTCGTTCGTATCTGCTCACGGGCCATTCAGCACGTATATCCAAAAACCTCGATGCCCGCGCTCTTCGTCTCTGATCGTACCCCCTTGGGGATAAATCTTTCTTACCTGCAACGTGCATTTCGTGCAGCCCCTAAGGCAGGAGATGAGAGGACGGATGGAAGGAAGGGACAAGGGGGAGGGAGGAGGATGGAACACGAGAGTGAGCGGCAGGAGGGGGGGGCTAGAAGCAGACAACACGTGGCAAAACCAGACAAGCAGATCGGGCGGGTAGACCCTAACAGGCGGGTCGGGAAGGCGGGCCCAGGCATCCAGGTAGAGCAGGCGGCTTGCTGAAGCGTGCGTCTTGCATGATTCGCGCGGAAGGATCGAGCGATACCGCGATCCCCAAGGAAACCCAGAGCGAGAGCGTGATTCTTGAGTGTCGAGGGCGCGGCGCCTGAATACATTGCGCGGAAATCCCACGCGAAAGCGCGATTCCTGTATGAAGCGTGAGGACGTCCCGCGCGAGACCGCGATTTGGGAATACATTGCGAGGAAGTACCTGGCGGGAGCCGCTGTTGTTGTAAACAGGGGGCCAGCAAACCAATTCTGAGACCCAAGACGTTCCCTAAAAAAAGTGCGAGCCCCAGGAAGGGCACTTCAATTGAAAAAGCACCGTGTGCCCCGGAGGGGGGACCAACAATAATTCGAACTTAGAAATGAAAATGCAACAACAACGACGACGACAACAACAACCACAACCACAACCACAGCCATAACAACCACAACAACAACAATAATAAGTTTAGGACTGTTCGCAACACGTATATCCTGAACCCTCGGTCCCCGCCCTCTGCGTCTTCGATCGTAGTCTCACGTGAGAGCGCGATGCTGAAATACATTTGTGAGGAAGTATCATGCGGGAGCCGCTGTTGTTGTAAATCGGGGGCCAGGGGCGCAGTTTGGTGACACCAAGCTTTCATTGGTAAAAAACCAGGGGCGAGCCCCGATGGGGGGCACTCCAATTCAACAATACAATGGCTACTGGAGGGGATCAACAATAATTCGTTTAGAAATGAGAGCTCAACAACAAACACAACAGGAGATAGAGGAAGAGAGACAGAGAGAGAGGGAGAGAGAAAAGAGAGAGAGAGAGAGACGGGGGGGGATAGAGAGAGAGGGAGGAGAGAGAAATAAGGAGAGAGAGAAGGAGAGGCAAAGAGGGATATCACATAGAGTAAGTGCATGCATATAAATATAAGATAGATATAGATCTTTGTGTATATATATATATACAAGACTGCAGTTGCGCTTCGCGCCATGCACCTTGGTCCTTGAAGTTTGGTATGCAGGCGGAATAGCTGGAAGGTCAAGCCGACAATTTAGCGATAACTCCTTGTTGCCTTTTCCGGCATCGCCGCTATGAAAATGTTATTCGTCATCCTTCCTGCATGCTTCTTTTTCCTCATTTTCTCCATACCCTGCACATTATCTCCATCCATCTCAGCTCTTTTTTCAGGAGGCTCCTCCTTGGAGAGCCTCGGGGGGCCTCACAGAAGTTGTTTCAGGCTTTCTTAAGACCTTCTGGAGGCCTCCTGGGTGTATTCTGGGGGCATCTGGGGGCTTCCTCGGGCCACCCTGCCTCCAATCGCGGTCTCCCTGAACGACCGGGTCACGATTTGGAATGCTTCGGAGGGTGTCTTGGGGCCATCCTGGGCCGCCATGGGGCTCTCTGAGGGCCATCTTGGACCCGTGTTGTGCCGTTTTGGGGCTCTTAGACTGCCTGGAAGCCCTTTCGGATGGTTGTGGGGCGATTTGGGAGCCTCCCAGGCGGCTTCGGACGCCCAGAAGACCGCCGTCTTGGAGCGTCGGGAAGCCAAAAAGAGGAGAACCGCAAAATTCACCAAAAACCATCAGAAAATCAATGACTTTTGCCTCTTGGGGCCTTCTTGGGGGTGCTCTTGGAGGCCTCTTTGGGGCCGTCCTGGAGGCCTCTTGGGCCATCTTGAGGTCACGTCGGTCACTCTTGGAGCGCTCTTGTCCTGTCTTGGGGGTCTCTGGAACGTCTCCGATGACCCCCCTGATCGCCCTAGGTGTGCTGGGAAGGCTTGGCAAAACGCCCTGCGAGGCCCGGGGACGCTTCGAGGCCCGTCCAGAGGGTCCCAAAGCCCCAGATCCCGGGAATCCGGTTTTGGGGGGGGGGGCCACCGGGGCTTGTAAAAATATAGGAACAAGAACCGATGTACATATATACATATATATATACACACATACATACATACATGCATGCATACATGCATGCATGCATGCATGCATGCATGCATGCATACATACATATATACATACATGCACACAGACACATACATACACACACACAAACACATGCATGCATACATACGTACATACATACATACATGCATACATGCATGCCTGCCTGCCTGCCTGCATGCATGCATGCATGCATGCATGCATGCATACATACATTCATTCATACATACACACACATACATACATACACACATACACACATACACACATATACACATACACACATACATACATACATACATACATACATACATACATACATACATACATACATACATGCGTGCATACATGACATTACATTACATTACATTGCATTACATTACATTACATTACAATACATTACATTACACTACACTATATTATCTTGCATTACAATACACTACATTACATTACATTACACTGCATTACATCACATTGCATCCACTGCATTGTATTACACTACATTACATTACACTACATTACATGTCATTACATTGCATTGCATACATACGTACATACATACATACATGCATGCATGCATACATGCATGCATACATGCATGCATACATGCATGCATACATACATATGCATATGCATATGCATGTGTATGTATATATACACATATATAGACATGTACGGAAACTCTGCGATATATATATATATATATATATATATATATACACGGGCACATGTACAGATATGCAGTGTGTGTGTGTGCAGCGAGAGCGAAAGAGGAAAAACATGCAAGAGGAAGAGGGAGAGAGTCATACTACAAAAACATGAAGAGAAGGGCGAAGGACAGAAAAGGGGGGAGGAAGAGGGCCAAGGGGGCGAAGAAGAGGGAGAGGCAGAGGGCGGGAGGGAGAGTGGATTGAGAGAGGCAGAGAGAGAGAGAGAAAGAGGGAGAGAGAGAAATCAAGAAGGCCAGAGAGAGGGGAACGGAGAGAGGGAGAGAGAAAGCGACGGGCGCCTGTCGTAGGCGCCGTGGAAGACGACGGGCCGCAGGCCCACGCCCCGGTACTCCGCGCTCAGCGCCTGGAAGCCACGCCGCTTCTTCCCCCCCCCAGCTGGCGGCGCGTGCGCGCTTCTGCTCGGCAGCCCGCCGCTCTGCGCCCACGCGGCGACTCGGCGCCTCTGGTCCACCGGAGCGCGCACCGGCGGGCGGTGGCGGATGGCGGGCGAGGAGGCGGCCAGAGGGGCAGGCGAGCACAGCGGGCACGCCGGCGGCTGGCGCCCGCGAGCGTGCGCGCACACTCCCTCCGGGGCCTGGCGGGCCTCTTCGCGGCAGCACGGGCAAGTCCGGCCGCCGAAGCAGCGCCGAACAGGCGTTCGCGGAGCGGCGGTGGCCAGGGCGCGCGGGCACTTGCTCGCAGCGCCTGCCCCCGCTCCGTCTACATTCTACATCTGCCTCCGGCGCTCTCTCGCCCTCCTTCCGTTGCTCCTCGACGCACGCAGCTGCCACGAGGCGCAAAAGAAGCACCCCTCGTGCCGGGCACTAGACGGACAACACCACTTCCTCCTCCTCCTCCTCCTCCTCCTCCTCCTCCCCCTCCTCCTCCCCCCTCCTCCTCCTCCTCCTCCCCTCCTTAACCTCCTCCCCCTCCTCCACCTCCTCCTCCTCCTTCTCCTCCTCCTCCTCCTCATCCTCCTCCTCCTCCTCCTCCTCCTCCTCCTCCCTCCTCCTCCTCCTTCTCCTCCTCATTAACCTCCTCCTCCTCCTCCTCTCCCTCTTCCTCCTCCTCCTTCTCCTCCTCCATCCTTCTTCCGTAATTTCTAAAAGAATATCATGAATAATAATAATGATTATCATAATCAAAATAATATACATATATATATATATATATTCCTGTCGCACCCCGAGGCCAGTCGAAAGGGCGGGCCAGGCGTTTCACCTGAGACTTCCTCACCTCTTTTGATCCTGAAGCTTGTACTGCGCAAAAGCTTCACGGATGGAGGACAGACAGTCGTCTTAAAAATTCACACGAACCAAATTTCACGGATGTAAGGCGGAAAAACATGTTGTTCTCGCCTCAGCACCGCGCACATTCGTTTCAAGAGTTCGCAAAAGCTCCACAGATGGAGGGCGCGTGGGTTTCAAAATGTGGCTCTCGCCTTAGCACCGCACTTATTCGTCTTAGAAACTGCAGGGCTTCACTGGTGGGGGGCTGTCCGTTTTCAAAATGCGGCTCTCGCCTCAGCGCCGCGCACATTCGTTGCAAGAGTTCGCAAGAGCTCCACAGATGGAGGGCGGGTGGGTTTCAAAATGTGGCTCTCGCCTTAGCGCCGCGCTTCTTCGTCTTAGAAACTGCAGGGCTTCACTGGTGGGGGGCTGTCCGTTTTCAAAATGCGGCTCTCGCCTCAGCGCCGCGCACATTCGTTTCAAAAGTTCGCAAGAGCTCCACAGATGGAGGGCGGGTGGGTTTCAAAATGTGGCTCTCGCCTTAGCACCGCACTTATTCGTCTTAGAAACTGCAGGGCTTCACTGGTGGGGGGCTGTCCGTTTTTCAAAATGCGGCTCTCGCCTCAGCGCCGCGCACATTCGCTTCAAAAGTTCGCAAGAGCTCCACAGATGGAGGGCGGGTGGGTTTCAAAATGTGGCTCTCGTCTTAGCGCCGCGCTATTCGTCTTAGAAACTGCAGGGCTTCACTGGTGGGGGGCTGTCCGTTTTCAAAATGCGGCTCTCGCCTCCGCGCCGCGCACATTCGTTTCAAAAGTTCGCGAGAGCTCCACAGATGGAGGGCGTGTGGGCTTCAAAATGTGGCTCTCGCCTCAGCGCCGAGCTTATTCGCCTTAGAAACTGCAGGGCTTCGCTGGTGGGGGGCTGTCCGTTTTCAAAATGCGGCTCTCGCCTCAGCGCCGCGCACATTCGTTGCAAGAGTTCGCAAGAGCTCCACAGATGGAGGGCGGGTGGGTTTCAAAACGTGGCTCTCGCCTTAGCGCCGCGCACAATCGCACAATGGTTAACATCCCAGAAGCTCTGTTTTGGCACAATGTCGGGATTTCAGGACGCAACGGTCTCGTTGATTCGTGGTGTTGAAGCTCCAGGAAAGGTGTTCTGGCATGGTTCAGGATCGTCCAGAGACAGCAGTAATGGTGATTCGCGGCGGTGAGATCCCTGGGATGATGTTCTGGCACAATCATGGATTTTCAAACGGTTGGTTTCCAACAGGGCAGTTCCCTCCATGAAAATAAACCATCGTAGCGGCCTGTGAAGAGGGAACTTGGAGAGAGGGATTATTGAAATATCGTTGTTGGGTCTTGGATTTACTCTGGCCCTCCTCCTCCTCTTCCTCCTCCTCTTTTTCCTCCTTATCCTCCTCATCCTCCACCTGTTCCTCCTCCTCCTCCTCCTCCTCCTCCTCATCATCATCATCATCATCATCATCATCATCATCATCATCATCATCATCATCATCATCATCAGCATCAGCATCAGCATCATCATCATCATCATCATCATCATCATCATCATCATCATCATCAGCATCCCCCCTCCTCCCCCTACCCCCCTTTCCCTCTCCTTGCCCTGCCTTTCCCCTCACTTTCCCTCCCCCCTCCCTGCCCCCGTCCCCTCGCCCGTCTGATTTTCATACCCCCCCGGCATCTCCTCTCCCATCCCTTTCCTCCCTACCTCATATATCAAGATGGCCTCCATCGTGCCTCCAAGAGGCCCCAAGAGAGCCACAAGATGGTTCCAAGCGCTCTCCGAGCCCCCAACGGACCCCCACAAGAGGCCAAAATCCGTCAAAACCCAGTTCCACAAAAACGATTGCTGCCTTCTCCCATTTTCGCTTATGATAGGCATGTGCGCCCTCAACAGCCCCACGATCGCCCAAGAGAGCACCAAGAGAGGCCCAAGAAGCCCCAAGACTGCCCCAAGAGCGCCCCAAGAAGCGATTCTGCTGGCCCCGGAAAAGGCAAGGGGGTCGAGGACCCCCTCTCTTTTGATAAGGGGCCACCCAGGATGGCCAAAAGAAGCCCTCCCGGGTTCCCAAGAGGTCCCGACGACGGCCCCCAGAAGGCCCCAAAAAAGCTCCAGGACACTTCAAAATATTCCGTGAGAGGACCCACCGGAAAACTCCAGAAGACACATGAGAAGACTCCAAGATGGCTCCTAGATTTCTCTCCCTCGCTGCCCTATCGCCCTCGTCGTCCTCATTTTCCTCTTCTTCCTCGCCGTCGTCGTCCTCCTCCTCCTCCTCCTCGTCCTCATCCTCGTTCTCGTCCTCATCCTCGGTATTACCCCAGTCCGCCCGCTCCTCCTCGTCCTCCTTCTGCTCGCTGCCCCCTAGATTGGCCACGAGAAGGCCCCAAAAAGACCCCAAGAGGGCACCAAGAGACCCCAACATGGCTCCTACAGTCCTCATCCTCGCCGTCGGCCTCCTGATTGGCAACTGTATCAATACATGTTCCCCCCGCTCCAAGCAACTCCCCTGGCGATCGTTGCCGGATGGGTTGTTCGGGGTATTTTTTTCGTCGCGGCCGCGGGCGGACGCGCCAGCGGCGTCGGAGGTGCGGCCGGCGACGCGCGAGCCGAAGTGCCTAGCGCACGGGGGCCGACGGCTGGACCTAAGCGGAAAAAGCTGCCTAAGCTGCGGGGCTGTCTAAGCTGAAGAAGCTGCCTAAGCTGAAGAAGCTGCGGAAAAAAGCTGCCTAAGCTGAAGAAGCTGCCTAAGCTGCCGGGCTGCGCGAGGTGGTGCCAGGAAGCGGGACGGCCCGAAACCGTGCCGACACGCGATGCAAACTGCGGCCAGGACCAGGGTCCAGGGGCAGTGCCGATGCACAAGCGGAACCGGGGAGCTACACGCAGCCAAGATGGAGCGGCAGGGTCACAGGCAGCGAAGCTGACAAGTGACAGCAGAGGGCGTGTAGGACATGACGTAGGATAAACCACACGAAACACCCTCACACCCAGCCCCTGAGGGGGACAGCTCGCTTGCAAAACGCTCCAGGGGGTAATACTAACACCGATGGCCAGGAATACGTCACTGATCAGGAACCAGTACAAGCGGCGCCACCGAAGTCGCACACTCACTCCTGAGAGAAAGATCCGAGGCAATCCCCTCTCCGAGAACGAGAGGAAGAGCCAGCCAGGAAAACGATGGAAAGGATCGACACCGAAAAACTGAACGGATCGATCGGCCACACGCCTGATGCTGCCAACCAGGAAAACGATGGATAAGGTCGACATCGATCGAACGCCTGTACGGAATGGCAGCACGCATAGATCTGCCAAGCGAACTGCCGATAGCAGGGCTAAGCACCTCACCCAGGACAGCTGCCTTAGCGTGGCAAGCGCCAACAAGCGAACTGGGACGTCCGGCTGGCCACGGGGGGGGGCCCGAAGGGAGCAAGGGCCAGAGCGAAGCGTGGCAGTGCCGTCTTCGCGGGGAGCGGAGCAGCTCGGCGCGGGGCAACTGCCGATAGGCGCGGGGAGCGGAGGGCGCCGAGGCGCGGTGAAGACAACTACAGCGAGGCCAGGGGCCATCCAGAACATGTGGGCCACGGCCCCAGCGGCAGTCCACGTGTCGGCATTGTCAGCAGGCAGCTGCCAGGGTCCCAAGGGCGGGGGGCAGCGGGTGCTGAAGGAGAGCGGAGGGGGCCAGGAAAGCGGCCGAAGGCCGCACGCTCTATGGCGACGCAGGAAGAGAAGAGGGAAGCAGAAAGCGCTGCCAGGAAGTGGCTGAAGGCCACTGGTTTGTCGAAGAACAGATGGATCGTCGCCATGTACGGGAGCGCTCGTCGCCTCTCCCGTCGCCGCTGTGGTCGCCGCCCCGCTTGCCTCCTGTCTGCCAGTCGTTGGCGCCCCAGGAGTGTGTCCAGGACCAGCTGCCCCAGTCCCAGGATTGCTGTGGGCTGGACGCGCGGCCCTTTGGCTGGTGGCCGCCTTTGCCCTGGCGCCCCGTCCATTTTGCGCGCTCCTCGTCCCCGTCAACCTGCAGGTCGAGTTGCCGATCCAGCTCATAGGCGTCAAAGCCACAGCGTTCCCAGGCGCCCAGGAAGTCGCGGCAGGTGGACTAGGGGTTCAGTGCAGGGTTGCCTTCCGGCATTCCTTTGGCTCCCGCAGGGTGCTTCCTGGCGCATGCGTGCCAGACGCCGTTGAACGCGCCTCCCAGGTCCTTCTGGAGTCGCGCGATCTTGGCTGCTGGCTTCTCGCCGATCCTGTCGAGGTCAACGTTGCTCAGCAACTCCTTGTACATGCGGCCTCCGCCCACGGGGTCAACGAGATCGTCGAAGGCACGGCTGGCGGCCCTGCTGTGTCTCCTGTCCCCATGGTAAGCGATGGGCCGTCGCCAGCTGTTCGGGATCCACGAGGCGTCAAGAATTTGCAGCAGCTTCAAAGCGGTTATCGCCTCTGCCCGGCGCACATCCGTGCGAAATGCTGGGGCAGCGTGAAAGATGAAGGGGGTGGTTTTCAAACTGTGGCTCTCGCGTCCGCGCCGCGCTCTTTCGTCAAACAAGCTCGCAACAGCTCCAAGGATGGAGGGGGGGTCGTTCTCGAAATGTTGTTCTGGCCTCAGCGCCACGCACATGTGTTTCAACACGTCGCAACAGCTCCAAGGACGGAGAGCGGCTCCTTTTTTCAAAATGTGTCGATCACTCCACACACACACACACACACACACGCACACACACACACACACACGCACACACACACACACACACACACGCACACAGACACATCACCACCACCACCCGGCCGCGCGCACTCGTCGTAAGCGTTCGCAGCATCTTCAAGGATGAGGGGCTGATCTTTTTCAAAGGGTGGCTCTCACACTAACGCCGCGCGCGTTCGTCTTGAACGATTGCATCGGCTCCAGGGGTGGATGGAGGTGCCTTTTGGAAAAGGTGGCTCTCGCCTCAGCGCCGCGCACGTTCGTCTCAACATACTGCAGCAGGTTCAAAGCACCGCGCAAGCCCGTGTCAACCGTTTGTAACAGTTTCGAGGAGCGAGCAAAGCTGAACGTCCGAATGGTGATCTCGCCTACGCGCCGCGCACGTTCGTCTTCCTACAGCAGCATCTAGGAAGATCGAGGACTGCTATTGCTCAACATCGTGCTCTCGCTCATGACTTCGCTAAGTTAAAAAGCTCAGAACGTAAACACATGTAGCACTGTACGGATCCAGGGCGATCCATGTTCAGAATGGAGCTGTCGCTACAGACTTGCTCGAAACCCGTGATCACAGCGTTGAGTTCGTGCAGCATTTACACGGATGGGGGGCGGTCAGTCTTGAGATCGCTAGACAGCTCGCTGCAGTGTAGGATCACAACTTATCGCATCCCTGGTGGTGTGCCAAAGGATGCAAGGCCGTTTCTGTTCAAAGCGGTGTCCTCGCCAAAATGACAGGTCCAACTGCGCTGGTCTTTTGTTAGGGGCACTACTTGCAGCAAACAGAGAAGCGTGCACGGACGCATGGGGAGGGGACTTGGAACGGGAGGATGCATTGCAGCATCGCTGCTACATTGTGGGCTTACTCTGTTGTTCCTCCTCCCTCTCTCTCTCACTCTTTGCCTCTCTCTCTCTCTCTTTCTCTCGTTATTTATCTCTCTCGCGCTCTGTGTATATATATATACTTCTATCTCTCTCTCACACACACTCTCTCTCTCTCTTGGCACCGCTGTCCCTTCTTCAAGAAAAGGCGTTGCGTCGCCTCCTCATGTTCCCTCCTCCTCCTCCTCCTTCTCCTCCTCCTGTCCTCCTCCTAGTCCTTACGCGTGTCATCCTCCTCGTCCTCCACATGATCCTCTTCCTGCTGCTGCTCCTCCTCCTCATCATCATCGTCATCATCAACATCATCATCCTCATCCTCATCCTCCTCCTCCTCCGCCTGTTCCTCCGCCTCCTCCTGCTCATCCTTCTTCCCCATCCCTGTTTTTCCTCACGCGTTCCCTGCTGCTCATGTTCCTGACTTTCCGATTATCCTCCTCTTTGAGGGGAGAATGGGGAGGAGAAGTAGGAGGCGACGGGAGAAAGGAAAAAACAATCCCCAGAGCCTGCATCTTGCCACCGTAAATGATGCAATCACTGGCTTTCTCGAAGCTCGCGACCTCAGAACAGGAGGTTGGAGTGCATTATTCCCTTGCTCCACTGCCTCACACCCTCTGCCTCAGCCCTTCTAGCATGATGCCTTCTCGTCCTTTCTCTCTCTCTCTCTCTCTCTCTCTCTCTCCCGGGCTTTCTTACGAGGGGTCGAGGGGCCTTCCACGCATCCTTGATGCCCCTGCCGGGCCTAGCCAACAGGCCCGAAGCGATCATCAGGGTGGCGGACGTGAATTCCTGTTGTTCAAGAACTGGATTCAGCTCTTCTTTCTTCTTGGCGTCCGAGACACTTTAAGTTAATAAGCCCCGGAAATCATCCGAAAATAATGCAGAAAGCCTCCCAGACAGGCCACGAGAGCCCCCAAGCGGCCCAACAGGTCCCAAAAACTGCCTGAAGAGAAAGAACCCCATAACGGCCCAAAAAGGCTCCAAGACGCCCCCCGAAGCACTTCAAATCGTGACTCGCTGGTTCAGGGAGAACGTGGATCGCAGCAAGGTAGCCCGACGACGCCCACAAAGGCTCCCAAAAGGCGCCCAGGGGGCTCTCAGAGGCCCTAAAGAAGCTCTCAAAAAGCGTTCATAAGATCCCCAGATGCATATCCCAGAAGCCTCCGCAACAAAAACACTCAGGAGGACGGGGAAAGGTTCGCAAGGTAGGGCGAGGATGGTGAAGAGGAAGATGAAAAGATCAGGAAAGGAGAAGCACATCCAATCACGACGATGGCGTATTGCTACTATTGTGTATGTACCTCTCCGCTATGCCGCCTGTATGCCAAACTTGTACGGCGCAAATCGTCAGTGCGATCATGTGCGCAGCCATACGCACATAACGAGAGAGAGAGAGAGAACCCCAAAAAAACACAAACACACACACACAAAGCACACATTCACACACAGTCGCACACCACACACCACACACACACACACACACTCACGTTTTGGCGTCGCGGCCCTGCGAGCAGCGACAGATCGTAGAAGTCACAGAAACACGCACGCACACACACACACACACACACACACACAAGCACAAACACACACACACACACACACACACACACGTAGATTCCTCTTCCTATTTCTACAAACTGGGAAGAGGCGACCCCCACCCCCAAAACGAGATCCCCTGGATCCGCGGCCCCAGGAGCCCCCTAGACGCCCCTGCAGAAGACCCCCGAGGCCTCTTGGGGCTGCTGAAGCCCCTGACACGAGGGCGGCCGAACAGCTCCCCGAGGGGCCCAAGAGACACCAGACACCCATCAGACGCCCGATGACGACCCAAAGAGAACCCCCAAGAGGGTTTCCATCGGTTTTCGCATGGTGGCAATGCTCTGTTCTTCGATCTTCCTGGCCACCCTGGAGGCCCGAAGATCAGCCCAAAACTACCCGAAAGGGCCTGCAGGCAGTCCACGAGAGCCCCAAGACGGCCCAACTGTGCCCCAAGATGGCCCGAAAAGTAAACCCCTTGACGGCCCAAGATGCCCCAAAAGCCCCCCCAAGCATTCCAATCGTGACCTGGTCGTTCCGGGAGCCCGCGGCTGGAAGCAGGGTGGCCCGAGAGGCCACCCTGCTTCCAGCCGCGGGCTCCCAGAAGGCACTCCGGAGACATCCAGAAGGCACCAAGAAGCCCTTGAAAACTCTTCGAGACCCCCCAAGTGCCCTCCAAGGAAAAACCTCCACAGAAAGCGCTAGGGAGGATGGGGAAAAATTCGCAGGGTAGGGCGAGAATGAGAGAGATGAAGACAAAACATGAGGGAGTGATGATGAATCACATCCTTACAGCGACGACGACGAGGGGAAAGGCAACAAGGTGTTGTCAAAATTGCTTATATTGCGCGTTCCTCCCCTGCCGCTTTCATGCCAAACTTCAAAGGCCAAGGTGGTAGCACGAAGCACCAATGCAGAATTGCACATGTATACTCCTATATATATATATATATAAAATGGCCATATGTCTGTATGATCGTCTCTCTCTCTCTTTATCTGTCTCGCTCTCTATCTCTCTCTCTCTCTCTCTTTCCCTGTCTCTCCATCCCTCTCTCTCTATATCTCTCTCTCTCTCTCTCTCTCTCCCTCTCTCTGACACCCCCTCCTGGCGGCAGCCCCTTACCGCGGCGGTCCGCGAGCGAGGTCCCTTGTTCGAAGAAGTACCGCCCCCTCAGGTTCTCAAAGTCCCGCTCGAGATCCCTTCGTGCAAGTGCTGCTCCAGGTTACGCTTGTGGCCGTGAACGTCGCGAAAGTCTCAAGCGACAACTCTTGCTGAAAAAGAACCACCCTGCATCCGCGCAGCATGACACGCGCTGAAATGACGGGTCTTCGAATTCAGAGAAGCCTCTTGCGAGAACCCCATTCTGAAAAGAACAGTCCTCAGTCCTTGTAGCATTCACAAGTCACTGTGCGCGGCGCTGGGGCAAGAGCCACATCATCAGAACTGCCTGTTCTCCATCATGAAAACTGCTGAACACGTTTGCAACTGAGGCGACGAACCTGCTTTGAAAAGGCACCACCCTACATCCTTGAAGATGCGGGCCATTGCAGCATGTTGAAAAATGCGCGTGGGGCCGAGGCGACAGCACCATTTGAACCACACGCCCCCCCCCCCCCCACTAACACTTGAAACGGTTGCATGCTTCTTACACGAATACGCGCGGAGCTACGACGAGAGCCACATGTTGAAGACGCCCCCCCCTCCATCCCAGGAGCTCTTGCAACGTTCTGCAGCGAATGCGCGCGGTGCGAAGGCGAGAGCCAGACTTTGAAGACCAACCCCTCCATTCCTAAAGCTGCGGCAGTTTGTCTGGCAAATCTATGAGGCGCCCAAGCGGGAGTTACAGTTGATAAAAAACTCCATCCCTGGAACTGTTGCACACTTGTCGGACGACTGCGCGCCGTACTCAAACGAGTGCCACATGGTATAAACCAACCCCCTTCCATCTTTGAAGCAGCTGAGGTAATAGATCCAATGTGACAACCACCTTATCCATCCTTGAAGCTGTTGTCAACGTGCAAGACGAACGTGCGCAGCGCTGAGACGAGAACCACATTTTGAATACCACTACCACTCCACACCTTTGAAAATGCTGCGAACTATGAAAACGAATGTGCGCGCCAAGAGCGGGAGCCACATGTTGAAAACAATACCCCTCCATCTCTGAAGCTGCTGCAAACGTGAAACACGAATGTACGCGGCGTTGAAAGCTACCTCCCCCCCCCCATCCCTGCATTCTCAAAGCTGCTACACGGTGTAAAACGAGTGCGCGCGACGCTAGGGCGAGAGCTCCACTTTGAACACCACCAGCCCTCCACCCCTGAAACGAGGCGGCGAGGCGGATGAGGAGGAGGAGGGAATCGGGAGAAGGAAGAGGGAGGAGGGAGGAAGGACGAGGGAGACAGAGGAGGGAGGGGGAGGGGGGATAAGGGAGAACTGAAGGAGGAAAGAGCAGGGAGGAGTGAGGAGGACGGAAGGAGGAGAAAGGAGGGAGAATAGAGGAAAGAGGATGGAGGAGGGAGAAGGAGGAGGGGGACGAGGAGGAGGAGTGCAAACTGAAGACCCATCAGCGATGTGGCAATAAACACTCCCTCCGAATTCCCTCTTCAAAGGTCCCTACAACTGTTCACTTTACTGGCAAAAATGCCCGATTGGAAGTCGACCACCTGAAAATCCTGAACCGTGTCAGAACATCTTTCCTGAGACTCCAATACCGAAACTAAACGTTACTGTTGCGCCCTGACGATCCTGAATCGCGCCAGAAAGCAATTCCTGGGACTTCAGCGCAGCGAAATAACGTAATCGCTTGCTCCCCGACTCTCTTACACCATGCCAAAACACCAATCCTAGAACGTCAACCATAAGAATCCTTGAAGCTGCCGTAAGATGTTCACACGAGTGTGTGCGGCATCAAGGCGGGAGCCACATGTTGAAAAGGTGCAGCCCTCCAGCCGCGAAACCCTTGCAAACTTCGAGAACGAACGTACGAGGCGCCCTGGTAGGAGCAGCATTTTGAAAACCGCACGCCATCCACCCGTAAAACCCTTGCAAGTGTTTAGGGCGAATGTGCGCGGCGCTTGGGCGAGAGCCACGTCTTGAAAACCACCCGCCCTCCATCGGCGAAATTCTTACAACCTGTCAGCTTAAGGATCATAACTGGTGAGGAAGTCTCAGGCGAAACTCCTGACCCGCCCCACGGACACGCCTCGGGGCGCAACGGGGAGGAGCTATCTAGAAGGAAAAAGGATGGAGGAGGAGGAGGAGGAGGAGGAGGAGGAGGAGGAGGAGGGTGGCGGGGGGGGAGAGGGGGAGGAGGAAGCGGAGGCGGAGGAAGAGGACACGGAGGAGTAGGAGGGAGAGAGGCGGGAAGAGTGGGAGGAAGGGGGCTAGGAAGGGGAGAGAAGAGGGGAGAAGACGGGAGGAGGACAGGGCGTAAGAGAAGGTGCGAGGGCAGCCGAGTTCAGCACGGTGATGACGGGAGGGCCCTCGAGTTGTCCGAGATCCAGGTGGCGAGCCAGCGACGCGATCCTGTCCGTCGGGAAAGTGGAAGAGGAGGCGGATTCGGATTAGATAGCGGAAGAGTTGGAGGTGAAGTGGGGGGAAGGAGGGAGGGTAGGGGGAGGAGGGGAAGGAGGAAGGGAAGAAGGAGGGGAAGACGGGCGCGGAGATGGGGGAGCAGGACAAAGAGGAGAACGACTGTGAAAACGCACGCTGTCCTTAGGGGTGGAGGGTCCCTGGGTGGTTGCACCTTTTGCGAGATGCCACCTCTGTGGGCCTGGCGGCCAGCAGCAGGTTTGGAGTACCAGCGTGGGGCGTGATGTGCCGAACTAAGGGGGCACTTATCGGTCACGGCTGTGGCGCGACCGACTGGGGGGTGCAGCTCGAGACGCGCCCATCACGGTGGCCTGGGCAATGCCATGTCCGAGTGTGGGGCACGGCCCGTCTTGCTCTGACATGGCCTCTTTGTGCTCGCTCGGGCGCGAATCGGGAGAGGTGGGGAGGAAAGAAGCGGGTGGCAAGGGCATGTACTGTCAGCTGGTGGTCTATTCCAAGGTGTTACCCTCAATCGTGAGCTCACAAACTTCTCTCGCAGGCCCCAGCCTCCAAGGGCCCCCATACCAAAGCGAATTAGGCAAAAAGTGTGCATTGGGAAGCCCTCGGGCCAGCCCCACCTGCGCCCGCTAGCCTGGACCACGACTCGTGCGGCGGGGCGCGTGGCGAAGAAGGCGGGACCGGGGGGGTGGGGACAAAGGGGCTATCTGGGCAAGCGGACACGCGCCACATGCGGACTGGGCGACATGTTAGGGGAGACTGACACAAGCGGCACAGGAGAGTGGCAGGATGGGAGGCTGACGGGCACTTGACCTGGCTCGCGTGGTACCCAGGTTGTGCTGCGCGACGCTGCCAGTCCGCTGGGCTGGCACGCCTGTACGCCACGATGAAAGCCGACGCGGCGTGAACGGCCACGCGGAGGAGAAGGAGGAGAAGCAAGAGAAGAGGAGGGAGAGGAGGCAAAGGGGAGGGGGAACGGAAGGGCGAGGGGGAGGAGGCAAGCAAGGTGCGCTCGCGCCATACACGACGTCCTACCCCTCCCACCCATCCCGTCCCATTGGGATTGTTCTTCGATGTCATCCGCCGACCACTGTCGTGGCGGACCTTGAGCCCCCAAAGGAAGCTGTGCGGAAGAATAGCTACCCAGCTCGGACAGGATCCAGGAAGAGGGGGGAATACTCCTCGTGCATCGCCGCCACCCCCCCCTTTGATCATACCATGTGTTGTCTTCGATGCGTTGCACTTCTTTCTTCTTCCGCCCTCCCCCTCATCTGCTCCCTGCTGCCCGTCGCTCCTCCTCATCCTCTTATCCTCTTTTAGCGGGGCAGTGCACCATCAGGCGTCTTAGCGTTCTCTCGCGCTGGATCGCTGTCCCTCCCTACCCCCAGGGAGGGGATGATGAGACGGAGGACGGCGAGGAGGATGAGGAGGAAGAGGAATTACCCCAGTGCGACCCTACCTAGAAGTTGGAGCTCCTAGGAAAACAGCTGTAGTTGCTATGCTATGCTATGAGGTGCCATGATATGCTGCGCTATGGTATGGTATGATATGTTATGCGATGCTATGCTGCGCTATGTTATGCGATGCTATGATATGATGTGATATGATATGTGATGTTATGATATGATATGATATGATAGACTAAGCTATGGTATGTCATGATGCGCCGTGCTATGCTATTATATGCTAGGATATGCGATGATACGCTAAGTTGCGCTATGCTATGATATGATATGATATGTTATGATACGATACGATATGGTATGATATGATATGATATGATATGCTGCGCTATGCTATGCTATGCTATGTTATGGTTTGAATGGCTATGTTATGCTATGCTATGCTATGATATGCTATGCTATGCTATGCTATGCTAATGCAGCGCTGCGCTATGCTAAGCTAGGATAAGCTAAGCTAAGCTAATCCTCTAGGCAGAGCCTAGGTAGGGAATTACATCCATGCTAATTACCCGAACAGAAAACTAAACTGGCAACGCGGTTGACGGGTATCCGACGCTATCCAACGCTATCCTCGCCCCTCCTGGGGCGAGGAGTCTACCCCCCCTCCTTAGAAGGCTATGCTAAAGCTCAGCAAAGCTAAGATGAAGGTAAACTAAGCTAAGATAAACCTGAGCTAAGATGAAGCTAAGCTAAGCTACGATGAAATAAGCTAAGCTAAGATGAGATAAGCAACGCTAAGCTAAGGGGACGTAACTGGGGGAACCGCGAGGCGGATACTGGGGGAACCGCCTGGGGAGAGCCCCACTGCCCGGCCCCTTTAAGCTAACAGAGTAAGAACCCTTCTAGGCAGAGCCTAGGTAGGGAATAACCTGATAAGATGAGTGAGGAGGAGGAGGTAGAGAAGATGCGTGCGGAACCGATGATGATGATTATGATGATCATGGTGATGATGTTGATGATGCTGGGATGGTGATGGTGATGGTGATGACGATGATGATAATGGTGATGATGATGATGGTGATAGTGATGGTGATGGTGATGATGATGATGATGATGATGATGATGATGATATGATGATGATGATGATGATGATGATGATGATGATGATGATGATGATGATGATGATGATGATGATGATGATGATGATGATGATGATGATGATGATGATGATGATGATGATGATGATGATGATGATGATGATGATGATGATGATGGTGGTGGTGGTGGTGGTGGTGGTGGTGGTGGTGATGACGATGAGGAGGAGGAGGAGGAGGAGGAGGAGGAGGAGTAGGAGGAGGAGGAGGAGGCTGCGGATGAGGAGGAACTACATAATATGAGGAGGAGGAGGAGGAGGAGGAGGAGGGGGAGGAGTAGAAGGAGGAGGAGCAGCAGCAGCATCAGCAACAACAGCAGCCTTACAACGGGCTGTTTTCTGAAGGAAAACCTGTGGGAACACAGCTATTCCTGATATGCTTGCAGGTGTAGGCAAGGAAACCCCAGGAAAACACAGATAATCCTGATAAGTTTGAAGGTTATGGTAAGGAAACCATGTGAACACATAGATAGTCTGAATAAATTTACAGGTTTTGGTAAGGACACCTTGTGAAAACACAGACTATCCTGATAACTCTTGCTTCTCTGGATACGGGCGCCCCTCCTCCTCCTCCTCCTGCGCCCCCCCAGCCTCTTTGCAGCGCGCCCGTATCCAGAAAACTTAAAAGTATCAGGATTATCTGCGTGTTCGCAGGGCTTCCTTACCAAAACCTGCAACAATATCACGATTGTCTGTGTTTTCACCTGGTTTCCTTACCAAAACCTTCAACATTATCAGGGTTATCTGTGTTTTCACAGGGTCTCTGGGCCAACTCCTGGCAATCAACCTCCCCCTGAAAAGGAAGGAGGAGGAAGAAGAAGAGGAGGAGGAGGAGGAGGATGACGAGGAGGAGGAGGACAAGGACGAGGAGGAGGAGGACGGAGGGGCGCCCGTATCCAGAAAACTTGCAAATATCAGGATTATCTGTTTTTTTTCACAAGGTGCCCTTACCAAAACCTGCAAAATGATCCGGATTATCTGTGTGTTCACATGGTTTCCTTACAAAAACCTTCAACATTATCAGGGTTATCTGTGTTTTCACCGGGTCTCTGGGCCAACACCTGGCAATCAACCTCCCCCTGAAAAGGGAGGAGGAGGAGGAAGAAGAGGAGGAGGAGGAGGAAGAGGAGGACGAGGAGGAGGACGAGGACGAGGAGGAGGAGGACGGAGGGGCGCCCGTATCCAGAAAACTTGAAAATATCAGGATTATCTGTTTTTTTCACAGGGTGTCCTTACCAAAACCTGAACTATTATCCGGATTATCTGTGCGTTCACATGGATTCCCTACCAAAACCTTCAACATTATCAGGATTATCTGTGTTTTCACCGGGTCTCTGGGCCAACACCTGGCAATCAACCTCCCCCTGAAAAGGAAGGCGGAGGAAGAGGAGGAGGGAGGAGGAGGAGGAGGGGGAGGATGAGGAAGAGGAGGGAGAGGAGGAGGGGGAGGAGGAGGAGGAGGAGGACGACGAGGACGAGGAGGAGGAGGAGGACGAAAATTGGAGGGGAAGAAGACACAGAGAAGAATAGAGAGGTATGATCACAGGGGGGCGACTATAAATATATATATATACATTTATATATATATATATATATATATATGCATATATATATACACTGATAGATATAGATATAGAGATATTAAATCGACCTGTGTATAGATATACAAACCTCCATGTTTTGCGCGGGCACGCCAATGGTAGGGAAGGCCGCCCCCCCTCTTTAAGGAGGCCTGAGCAGGCCAGTGAGGATATCCAGGACCCACACACCACTCCTGGGCTGCAGCAGATGGCAGGCTCGAGGCAGTCCGCCACCACACGCTTGCTACCTGCGTACCGGACAGAGTAAGAGCATCACTCCTGGCACCCCACTGGCTGTTCACAGGGAGGGGTTGCGTTTCCCCCCAGTTTCCCCCAGTTCTACAAGAGCCGCCCGTGCCCATTTTCTGGTCACTCCCCCTGCAGTGGCACGTTGTGCCGAACCCTCAGGGAGAGAAGGGCAGGGAAACGGGGGCGCCATTGTCCCACTTTGGGAGTTTTCATGTTGCCTCGCCCGACGCGGCACGAACCGCACCAAGGGCGGCCCGCGGCAGAGTGAGGGCCCGCGAGGGGCAGGCAATGCGCCCCCTTCCCCCTGAACGCCTTCGCACCGCCTCGAAAATCTGAGGAAAATAACCGTGCCGAAAAAGCGCCCGAGTAAAAAGTGGCATAAGACCCACCAGCCCGTTGGGCGACAGGTGGTCTAAGGAGGGTCTCTTTCCCCTTCCACAACCCCTCTTCCCTTCGTGGAGGGAACCTTCCCCCTCCCCTCCCTGAGGTTTTTTGGGAGGGGGGCCGATGTGTCAGAGGGTCCTTTTTCAGCCCCTGGGAGGGTTAATTGTTGACACCCTTCACGAGGATCGTGGCCCCCGAGGGGGGGAGGCAAATCGAGGACCCCCCCTCTTTTCACCGACCGCCTCCAAGATGGCCCCACGAGGCCCTCCAGGGCTCCGAAGAATCTCCCAAGAGGGCACAAAGAGCGCCCCAAGAAGCCCGACGAGTGTATGTTTTCTGTGTAAACATACATGCATCTACACATATCTATATATATATATACATGTATAGATGCACATACCAACATAAATACATATATATATATATATAGATATATGTGTGTGACAGGCCGGGAGGAAAGAGGGAACGAGGGAGACAGGGAATGAATGAGGGAGGGAGAGGGGGAAAGGAGCGAATAAAGAGAGGGAAGGGCAGGGAGAGAGGGAGGGAAGAAGCAGGAAGAAACAAGTTCCAGCTTTCGGTGCCCTCACGCACGAGAAGCTGCGGCATCGCGGCTGCGCAATGATAATCTAAACTGGGAAGCAGATAACTGAGAAGGAGGGGGAAGGAGGAGAAGAGGGAGAACGGAGGAATGAGGAAAAGGGAACAAAAGTGGCAGGAAAAGGGCGATGGACAACTTAAGTCAGCTACCCCGTCCTGGCAGACGAGATTTACATGGGTTGTGGCGACTGCGTGAAGCCGCGCTTCGCTGCACAAGGCACGCGGTTGAACCATGCTTTCGTTTCGCCGCGCCCCAGCGCGGATGCGAATCTCTCGTTGCAAGCTCTGCAGCAGCCAGCCCGTGTACACCTTGCCGAAGTGAAAGGGGCGTTTTTCCGCAGCCGCCAGCCTGGGTGCGGCGGCGCCAAGTTTTCACTGTCATCCGTGGAACCCGCTCCAACAGAGTGCGGCTCGCCTTCCACTGCATCGGTCGCGCAGTGCAGCTCAGAAAGGCGATTTTTCCCTCCGCGGGCGACGTGGCACCACACACGATATCGATGCTTGAGACGGGCAACGTCGTAGTGAATTGCCACCCTGCGTTGAAGACGGCGGACGGGCGCGAAGGCGAACACAAGGGAAGGTTTCACGCGCAAAGAAAAAAGGAGCATGCAAAGAGAGAGAGAGAGAGAGCAGGCAGCATAAACAGAGCGCAAACCAGGAAACACGAGCCAGACCTACAACAGATGGGTGCCCAGACGGACGCGGCCGACCAGATCGGCAGTCGCAGCAGCAAAGCGACCCCAGGACGCGCGCGCGAGGTCCGCCGGGCGTCCTGAACAATCAGGGCGTCGGCATTCTGGGCTGGAAGCCCGCTGGTGCCTGCGTGTTCTTGGCCTTCGCCGCGTTCCTCCTCTTCTGGGCCGTTTCCCTGCCGCTGCGGCCGGCCAGGGCGGCGGCCGGTGCAGCAAGCGGGCAGGCCACACCCCGCCTCCCAAGGGGGTTCTCTGGCCGTCAATGCCAAGAGTTCGCGGACCGAGACGTCCCTGCTTAGGCTCGCGCGTAGCCCCCCCCCCCTTACGCCGTTGGCGGCCTCGCCGGCGCGTGTTAATTAGCTCGGCCCGTGGCCCAGACCGGTCGACTCGGCGCCGGCGCTTCCGCCTGCGCCCGCGAGGAAAAGGGACCGAGACGTCCAACGCTCTCTCCCCCGCCCGTGCCCCAGCGATCTTGCACTTGTAAGGCACGCTGGCCCCGCCACTTGGGCCGACCAGCTCTGCCACGCGCGCGCGGGCATCCCATCCGCGAGGACGAGGCGCGTTCGGGCTGGCTTCCGCGCTTCCGCCGCCCCGCCCCCCGTTCGCCTTCCTCCGCCTCCCCCCCTCCATCTTCCCCACCCCCCTCCTGCGCCATTTCCTCCCCTTCCTCCTCCCCCCCTCTCCTCCCCTTCCTCCTCCCCTTCCTCCTCCCCTTCCTCCATTTCCTCCTCCCCATCTTCCGTCCCGCACGGACCCACTTCGCAGCGACTTCACGCCGCGCGGAGACTTCACTGGCGTCTCTGGCCCCACCCTCTCCCCGTGGCCCCATCCCCACCACCCACGGTCAAAAAAAACCGGAGGGCATGCAGAGTGGACCCGGCGACCCCCACAGAGGAGGAGAAGACGCTCCAAGGTGAGGGGTGGAACACTCGGCTTGGAAATTCTGGACCCCCTAGCTCCTCGGAGGCGGCAGCGACGACGACGACAAAAACGGTGACGACGACAATGACGACGACGACGACGACGACGACGACGACGACAACGACGACTACGACGACGACAACGGCGACGTCGACGCCGACGACGACGACGACAGCGGCAATGGCGGCGGTGGAGGCGGCGACGCTCCGCGCGGGCGGAGGTGGGTGGGCGCACGAGCTCAAGTAAGTCATGGTGTCCGAGCTGTGCCCGAATGACTCCCGGACTGGAGGCAGGGTTTTCCAACGTTCGTTCGGTGCGGCGTCGTGTTCGCACCCGTGTCTCTGACTCCACGAGCGGCAGAGCGCGCGACTCTGAAACTGGCGCCAGCGTCGCCACGACAACGACGCACACCGCAGGAGGAGGTGCGCAGGGCGGCTGCGGGCCGCAGCGCTGGAGCTACGATCGCGCGCTGGCTCTCGCCGGACGAACGCGCGCGCATGCGCTCTTGCGCTGCCTGGGCAGCCCAACGCGGCTCTGGAATGGCGCGGGCGCGCGCCCGAGGGGGCCGCGCGAAAGAAACGCGGCGGCAGGCCCCCAAAGGGCCCCCGTCGGGGGGGCCCCCCCATGCGCACCCGGAACGCACCCGATGGGCCACCGTCGGATGTCCCGTCGGGGTTCACCGCCGGTGACCTCGCGGAGCCAAAACGGTGACCCCCAACGGTGCCCCGAGCAGCGACCCCCAGCGGTGACCCCCCACGGTGGCACCCCGGGGCGGTGGCACCTCTCCCGCGGAGCATCGACCTCGGGGCGACGGCGGTGTGCGCCAACATCCGCACAGCGCGTTCGAGGCCACCCGCTCGTGTTCTGGGAGATCAAGTGTGGAATCGGCAATGGTACAATACGTGCCCGAATCGGTGCCCAAAGCATGTGCCCGAATCGGTACCCGAACGAAAATGGTCATGTGCCCGGATGGAAGCGATGGCGTGCCCAGATGGCACTGCCATGAAAACGATCATGTGCCCGAATGGGAACCGAATGTTCCCGAATGAAACTGGAATGAGAACGAATATGTGCCTGAACAGCTGTGCGTCCGAACGGAAACCAGTTATCTGACCGAATGGAAACGATGATGTGCCCGAATCAACAAGGGCGGACCACATTGGATATCCTCCAGACCGCGGTCAACTCGGGCACACCGAGACGATCGCATTGATTCGGGCATCGATTCGGCACCGATTCGGACACCAATTGGGGCACCGATTCGAGCACCGATCGGGGGCAGCCCCGTGCACTTTGGGCCTATCTGTTCGGGCGCAATTCAGGTGCGGCCGTGCGATTCGCGAGCTGACGGCGAGCGCGTCGGGGAGTCGGTCGCGTGAGCGCCCAATTCGGGCACGCCGTGGCGGTGGTGGCGGTAGTGGGGGCGATCAGGGCAGCGGTGGTACTGCGTGAAGCTCTCGCGCCTCCCCCGCGACGCGCGTTCTGTCACGATTGGAGGCCGCGCAAGGCACGTTGGCAAGCGGGGTACGCCAGGTGCCAAGCGCGCCGCGTGCGCCGGATACACCAACTGCGCGAAGCGTGCCACGTGCTGCTCCAGCCGCGCCAGGGGCGCCAATTGCGCCAGAGTCGCCACTGGCCCCAGGAATGGCAGGCGCGCCATGTGCGCAGGTGCGCAAGGCGCGGAGAGGCCTCACCAGACGCGCAGTCAACGCCCCGCAGATAACTGGCAAACTCATGGCCTAAACACTCTCGCGGCCCCGGGAGCCACCACGAACCATCTGTCAAGACCTAGCCATGTCTTTGCACGTCAGCGCATCAAAGCTCCATTTCTGGCGCTCGGAGCGGTCAGCAACGACCGAACGTTGAGAACGACGGCCAGCGGGACACTGCAACCCTACACCTCTCACAGCGCACGTGCTGATCCCGACCGCACGCACGCCGCACCACGCGAAACTAGCATCTGAAGACCGCTAAAATTCACGGCGCGGGCAGCGCCAGGCTTCGAAGAAACAAGAACGCACTCGGGCACGCCCGGTTCGGGACTTGGGCCAGTGCGTCCACCGAGGAGGAGGAGGAGGAGCAGGAGGAGGAAGAGGAGGAGGAGGAGGAGGAGGTTGACGACGGCGGCGGCGGCGGCCCTGAGCAGCGACGACGCCGACGCGTGGCCGACGGGCGTCCTGCCGTCCTCCCCGGCGTCGTGCCGGCGGCCGCCCCGCAGGTGGTCCACAAAGTCCGCGCTGCGAAGCGCGGAGGCCAGGTGCCGCCACACGCCTGGGGGGGGGGGGGGGGAAGGCGCCGCCCGACGCCAGCGGCCGCCACGGGCACCCGCCCTGGCCGGGCCCAGCCCAGGGGTCTCGGGGGCCACGCGAAAGGGGGGGCTTCGAAGCTCCGAGCTTCGAGGTGCGAGGTGTCAAGGCTTTCGAACGCTTGAGCCTCGGGATGCTCTCTCTCCAGCAGCTGCGCCTCGCCGGAAGCGTCCCGGGGGGAGGGGGGGGGGGCCGGAGGCGACCCGAACGGCCGCCGGAGGCCCGAGCTCTGGCCTGGAAGCCCCAAAGCCTCGACTGGCCTGGGGGGTATCCTCTGACCTGCGACGTGGCAGCAAAACTGCAACGTCGGGGAAAAACGCGACCAGCTTCGGCGACAGTTCGCGGGCCGCATCGACCGGTGCTGGCCCCGAGGCAGAACAGCCGGGCAAAAACGCCCGGTGTGGGAAAACGCAAGGGCCAGATCTCAGGGTCTCCCGTGCTCAGGGTCGGCCCAGTGCACGCGCCCCCAGACATCCGACAAGATCCCCAAGGGGAATTAGCCTCTCTTCCCGCACCCATTCGTTTTCCGCTCCCAGGGACCGACCAGGGGGGCCCCGGAATCCCAACTCAAGGAGCCACGCGCCCAGACTGGAAGAAAAACATGAGGTCGGACCCAGACCCCCGACGTAATGATTTTTTCATTACGTCGACCCCCAGAGGTCCTGACCTTTTCCCCATGACCGGCTTCGCATCCTGAGTCGTTTTTTGACGCTCCCGAGGCCCGGTGAGGGCCCCCGGAGGCCGAAACTTAGGAAAAACCTCCCGTCATGATTCTTTCAGTACTCGAGGGGGTCTGGGGAGGTCTGAGCCCTCCTGGGGCGCGCCAGGAGGGCGCGCACGCACCGATCCTCGGCCCGGGACCGGGCCCGGCCAGCACGAGCGCCGGTGCCCCGACGGCGCCCACCCCGTGCCCCCCCATGGGCGCCGGGCACGACGTCGCGCAGCTCCGGCGGGTAGGGGGGGCCGCCCGCAGGACCGCCTC